TTTATTTTTATTTTTTTTTTTGGTGTTTTTTTTTTTTGCCGGAACAGATTAATCGCGTTCTCATGCATTCCTATAGGAATGCATGCTTCTACTTACGACCATTTCAACTTACGTTCCATCTTCTGGAATGGATTATAGTTGTAAGTCGAGGCACCGTAGTAGTAGTAGTAGTAGTAGTAGTAGTAGTAGTAGTAGTAGTGTTTGTGTTGAATTATTTTATGTCATTGTCCTGTTTATTATACTGAATGTTGTGTTTTATTTTGTTCAGGTATCACCTATGATATAAGCCATTATAATGCATTGCTAAAGGTTTACCTTGAGAATGAACATGAATTCTCTCCAACTGAATTCTTAAAAAAAATTGAGGAAGCTAATATTCAACCCAATCGAGTAGGTATTTCATGAAGGAATCTCTCTCCACACCCAGCACACACCACAAATAAAAAAAAGCAATTTTGAGTTTCACTTATATTTCCTGTTTTACAGGTCACGTATCAGAGACTGATTGCAGCCTGTTGCAATAAGGGTGATATCGATAGTGCCAGGTAATTGTTTTCATCCAGGTATAAATCTTTCAGCGCTCCTGTGTGTCTGATAACACAATCCTATGCATGACTGCTTAGAACTAAGAATTATGGGTACAGTGGACCCTTGACTTACAGACGGCTCCACTTACAGACTTTTTGAGTTACAGACTTCTCTGGCCGTAAAATTTAGGTTTGACTTGCAGCCTGAGAATTGACTTACAGACCTGAAAAAAACCAAAATGGAACAAAAACGGCCTGTTACGGGATTAATCGGTTTTCAATGCACTGTAGGTCAATGGAGACTTGACCTACAGACTTTTTGACTTGAGAACCGCCTTCCAATACGGATTAAGTTCTCAAGTCAAGACCCCACTGTACCTTATTTCTAGGTAGCTGTATAGGATTATCATCTTACTATCTTTAAGCATAACATCAAATTTAAGCCAACTGTTCAATTTGCTGATTTGAAGTGAAAGAGACCTTTAATTTCACATTCAGCGTAATCAATGTTCCCTCTAATTTTCATCCCAGCTGGGTGGGGTTCTGCTCCTTGCACACACAACTTCGCCCACATGTGTGGGAACCTTTAGCACAATTACTGAAATGGTAGTCAGCTTTTCTAAATAACCATTAGTGGAGATGGATAGTCTTTTGTTCTTGCTAAATTTGCACATAATAAGCCAGATTGTATTGTAATGGTTCCCTCCCAAACATTTTGACATCACACCATCTTTTTGAGTTTTGAGAAAACCTTACACCATCCCATCCCTTCTTTGCTATCATCTAACCTCCTTTTAATACAAAGAGTAGTTTATTTACTTGTATATTCCATAAGATTATATACAGTACTGCTGACTTAATGTGGGATGTTACTCTAAGTGGTTTACAATAAAATAAACAATCACTCCAAGCACCCAACAAAACAAATAAGAAAAATATATGCATCAAATAAAAGTAATTCAAAACTAAACTTTAAAACCTATGAAATTCAAATTAATTTTGGAGTGACGTTTGAAAATAAATGATTTTTAACTGATATAAACGTTTTGTTTTCAGTAGGAAATTCTATAATCTCTTTTCCCCCTTAGAGCTCCCCTTCATGCCCCACGCACGCACTCACGCACATGCACACACACACACACACAGTGGACTGGGAACCAGTGCTTCAGTGCAACATGCACGGGCAGGAACAATTCACAGTAATAGTGGGCTTATGCCTTCTCCTCCTGTCTTCTTTGGCTGGAAGAAGTTTGGAGTCTTTTATTTTATTGTTTACCACAGTTACTGTATCATCAAGGTTGACAAACTGACTAACACTAACTTTGCTAGTTTTTACACTGTGGAAAATGTGGGGTAGGGAAATTTCAAATTTGTCATCTTAGCTGTATGAGAGGAGGGAGGTGGTGAGGATGTGAGCTCAAGGCTGACCGTTGCACATGCATGTCATGTGAAACCTTGGTTTATTGTAATGTGCAATTGTAGCCATTGCATATATATGTGAAAACTACAGTAACCTATAAGGAGCATCTTGTAAGAAATACTGTGTTTCCCTGAAAATAAGACAGGGTTTCATATTAATTTTTGCCCCAAAAATGCTTTAGGGCTTATTTTCAGGGGATGTTTTTTTTTCACGTACAACAATCTACATTTTATTCAGATATAGTAATGTCATATTCTGGTTGCTGCACAAGGGTGGAGGGTGGGCATTCACTTAACTGGGGCTTAATTTTGGGGTAGGGCTTATATTACGAGCATCCTGAAAATTGCACTAGGGCTTATTTTCAGGTTAGGTCTTATTTTTGGGAAAATGGTATTTTATCCATAATTTCTTGTTTAAGAGGCTACTTTTCTTGTACAGTATGAGTTTAGTGATTAAATGCAGTGTATTTTCTCATCTTTTTCCCCGAAGAAAAATACAACTCATTTTGTTTTTTATTTTGCAGCAATATTCTTAGTTTCATGAAAATTAAAGACCTCCCAATTACCGAGTCTGTATTCAGTGCTCTTGTGACGGGCCATTCGAGAGCTGGGTAATTTATATTTTCTGGTCTTTTTCTGTTTGTGTAGTTGTTTAATCTTACTACTGTGACTGTTTTGAATGTCTGTGAAGGAAAATGTAGTAGAACAGTGGCCAGGGTTTCTGAGAGTTGCAATCCAAGAACACCTGGTTTACCCAAGGTTGGGATTACTATTCTTGTGTCAAAGTGCTTTGTTTTAATCTTTTATTTTCCTGGTTTGGTCCTAACAAATATCTCACAGATTGAATTCGAATAGTAGTAGAGGAAGTTATATTGGGACCTTTTAAAGAAGGAAAGCCTCTCCTGCCCCAACTGCCCCTATGGCTGCTTCTTGTACAGTGGTGCCCTGCTTGATGATGATAATCCATCCCAGGAAAATCACTGTTAAGTGATATCGTCGTCAAGCAAAAAAAACCTCACTCCTATTGGAATGCATTGAAAACCGGTCAATGCGTTCCAATAGGGAAATATCTCATCATCCAGCAAAGATTGCCCATAGAGAACCACCGATGAGCTGTTTGAAATCGCTGTAAGGCGAAGCTTCCTTCTGGAAAGTAGCCATTTTGAGAAGAGAGGAAAGGCATTTTGTAGAGGGAAGCCATTTTGCGGAGCCGGAAAAAACATCATATAGCGAACAAACGGTTCACGAAGCAGTCTCCTAATCAACGTAATGTGGATTTCACCCATAAGAACCATTGTTTTGCGATTGCAATAGCGATCGCAAAAAACTCGTCATGAAGCAATTCCAACGTCATGTGCGGTAAGCGTATAGCGGGGCACCACTGTATTTGCAGAAAGACTTTAGTCAGTGGTACAATTTAACATTGTGTGTAGCTTGGCAATTGGGGTCTTTTGCAGAAGTCTTAATGGCAACAACATGCATACCCGTGGGCAAGCCATTCTTCGCAGGCTCTTCCCTTCTCTTATCCTTTCAGTTACTTGCCAAAGGTGCCATATTTCATGTTTTCCTCTTACACAGCAATTAAAGTGAATGAAGAAGGTCAGTGAAGTGACTCTTGGTTTACACTTAGGATTAGGGTTTAGCTTTAATCATGAAATAAGATTTAATGGCTCCCATAGCCTGTATATAAAATTGTGTTTCAAATATCAATACATTGAAATAACTGTTGCGTTTTCATATATCTTATTTCAGAGATATGCAAAATGCAGAAAATATTATTTCTGTTATGAAAAGTACTGGAATTGAACCTGGTCCAGATACATATGTTGCCTTGTTGAATGCCTATGCCCGGAAAGGTGACATAGATAAAATTGAAAAGGTAATGTAGAGTCACAACTCTGCCTAGGAATATATGTATTCTTTTAATTAATATCACTGTTTTTGCATGCATTTTTCTAAACTGATAACTAATGTCATTCTAGTGTGCTGCTATTCTGGAGTAGTAGGCATTCAGTAGTAAGCTGAGGAGAACAACTTGCCTGAGGTTGCCTATACAGTATATTTCGCGAGGCATAGACTTCCTACTTGATATTCTTGGCCTTAAAGTATCTTTATTCACTACACTATAGCAATTGTAAATGCTACAAATCTCTCTGGGACCTGCCTACAGTCATCTGTCCTGGAAAAACTGTGTATCTGTCTTTGACATCTATAAACTGTAAAAGAAAACTCAATGTTTATTGGGAATAGTGTTGGAAACAATGGGAAATTGTAGAACTGAGTTGTAATTTTCACAGATCACATCATTTAATGGCCAAATATATGTCCCAGTTACTTTGATTTTCTAGTCATGATTAATCTATTTTTTTCTACCATGGATTTTATGAGAGCTGCCTGTTATAAATCTACAGACTTGAACTAACCAAAGTGGCAGGTTCAGTTGTTCATTTTAATCCACAACAGAACCAGTATTCTTTAGGCTTCCATTAAGAGCAAATGGATGGCAGGCATGAAGTGATGCTGGTGCTTTCCAAATCATTTTCTCTCTGTCTGGAGAAGTCCATAAAGATGAAAAGATATATTTGTGCCAAGTTAATGCAGCACTTAAAAATGATTTGGGCTGTTTAATGTCTAGAACCTTTTGAATACCCCTTCTGCAACAGAAATAACCAGCCTTTATGTTGAATTTAAGAGTGACTGCTATCATATATTATAAACCATTATTACAGAATTGCCTTGCGTGTGCAGTTTTCTGTCAAAATACATTACAGGTTCACTCTGCTCAAGTATAGTCTTGTGAAGCAAACCTATGTTAGATCCCATTCGTTGTGGTTTTCATGTTCTGATGGCATATTTTCACATATAAAACTTGTGTATCTACGGAAGTCAGTACAATGCTTTCTTTATAGACATGATGCTATTGTATGTTTCATACAGATGATATGTTTTTTCTCTTGCTGTGTACAGACCTTGGAAACTCTTTCAAAGGATGGCTGTTGCCTTACAGACAAAGACTTGATGGATATCATTTTTACTCTTGCTAAGGCGGGATATCCTCAATATGTAGAAAATATTCTGAAGAATATGAGATGCGATGAGCATTTTATTCCAGGTAATGTTCTAGAAAAATGTCCAGAATTCTGGCTTCCTGATTTGTACTTATTTTTAAAAGATTTTTTTAAAATGCTGATGTTTATTCACCGTATTTAATACACCACACTTGGGCACTGTGTAGTAGTAATAGCCACAGAACAGAAATATACATAACATTTCTATCCCAACATAGCCTTAAAAAATTATTTTAGTAACATTCCTTTGTGTTGCACCCTAATCTTTTACTGAAATTGTATAGAGATGAACCGTGTGTTTATAAGCTCTGTCAAAACCTTGTCTCATTTGTGTCTTATCTTTACAATTTGACTTTGTCTAGTCTTGTCAATATTAAAGTGCAATAATCTATTTTTTCTCACCAGTGCTTTGTGATTTTTATAATGTCATATGAGCACTTATAGAATAAAGTGCGTTAAGAAAAAGCAGGATGACTACTATCTGTATTAATTATTTGTGATTAGTTATTGTTATTATACTATCATTTTTCATATAATAATCTTTAAGAATAGCAAGTGCTTTGAGATATATTCTGTCCTGCACATTAATGCAAAAAAAGAGTTGATTTTTTAAAAAGAATCTTAATAATATTATTTCCTTTTATCCACTTTTACCCCAACATGTAGACTGTATGAATCTTAGTCTTCATTTAATTACGCACCAGTTGGAAGATACAGCTGTTCAACTTCTGAAACCATTTTTTCGGTTATCATTGGATGCCCAGAATGGAACTAACATTGAGCATGGTGGCTTCTTACTACAGCATTGTATAAATTTGGATATGGTAAGTGAAGTCCTAAAAGGTTGTATAACAGACTTAAAAACAATTGTCCTGTTATAAGATCATAGAATTGTCAGACAAGGCCTATGCCGAAGTGGGGAGATTAAAGGGTACTTTGCAGTCAGTGGGCATTTGGATGTAGTCTGAATTCTATTTCTTTCCTAAAGCAAACTCTACACCCTGAATCAGTGGTTAAATTTCAATATAACACTAGGTAACCCAGGTGTTGTTGGACTGCAACTTCCATTAGCCTTCACCATTAGCTGTGCTGGCGAGAGGTTTTGGAAGCTGCAGTCCAAGAAGACCGAGGTTGCCTGGGATTGAAAACCACTACTTAACTTTTTTGGCTATCTTTTTTTAATATACTTTCCTTATCTTCCTTTGCCTATCCTTTGCTTGAATTGTAGTGGCAACTGAAATAGTGCTCGATGCCCATATCCCAGCTTATAAGAGATAAAAGTCTTTGTCATCTTCTTGCACCTATCTTTATTTTATTCAATATTCTGCTTCCAGATCCCCATGTGAGATCAGTCAGTTTCTTTCTCTTTGAAACTGTCCAGTCTTATTAGTCAGTAGCTTCCAGGTGTCAGCTTTATTATTCTTAATGTGCTTCCCTTTAGGTACCTGAATTTGGTCAACTTAATTATACCTGGGCCTATTTTTGCTCCCCTGTCACTGTTAGGATTGTATGTGTTGGTTTTATGGTCACTCTTCCAAACAGTGGCAACACAGTCTTCCTCTCAAGACTGTTCAATGTACCCAGTTTACTCATTGGTAAGTTAAATGTCAGTAGTTGTGAGAAGTTAGAAATTCTTTAAACTTTCTGTTTCTTAACAGCCTATAGCTAAGTTGAAATATATTTGTGACAAAGTGAAAGAAATCAACCTCCATTCTGCACCTCTGCAGTCTTGTCTTCGGTGGGCACTTCAGACAAATAAAACTGGTATTTTCTCTTTTTTTCCTTAATTTGGTTCAAAAATTTTCCTAATTTTCTTTATACTTCTGTTTGCTCATGTTCTATCTTTCTGAATCTTTTCAGCTCAGGCCTTTTCCCTGTTGAAGACTATGAAAGAAGAAGGTTTGCCCATCAGACTCCATTATTTCTGGCCATTGCTGGCTTGGCACCAGAAAGAAAAAAATCTTCAAGGTTAGCTAATTTGATCAAGCCTTGGTTGCTGTGAATGCGAAGGTTAATACAACAGCCAGAAATTAATTTTAACAAGGGGAGGAGAGCTGTTGTGTGATGCAAGTAGCCTTATTGAAACATTATTGCAATACTGGTCAGTGATGTATGTAGAGCAGCAGTTTCCTCAGCATATTTTTTTTCATATTTTTTGCATCAGTATAAATTGGCTTAAGGGTGGAACTTTGTGGAGAGTTGAATTAGTTTGGCTATAGCCATGTTTCTTGTTATTTCAGGAAACTATATCCTTTACAATCTATCTCTTAATGATTTTGGGAGAGATTATATTGAAATCTAGCAAGCTTTTAAAGGTCAGTTTACATCATGCAGACTTTGCTCAAAATGGAGAAGAAATGACCTTTTTTCTTTTTCCTATGCAGTGATAAGTGAAATGTGGGCTTAGTTACAATAATAACAGCACAAAAACCTCCATTGTTGAATGAATGATCATGGGCTGACAGCATACTGACTGAAAGACTGAAATGTTCAATCTTTTGGATTCTTAAGTAGGTTTAAGCGTTTAGCACACTTTTCCCTGTTACACATGGGGGTGTCTATAGGATATGAATAAAAATTGAACAAATATTAAATTTTAAAGTACAATATCTAATTCTTTGGTTTGCATTACTGGTAATTCAGAAAGAGTAGTCTGATAAAAAGATGCTTTTAACAGAAGTACTTTCCCCTTGGGGAAATTAAAAACTGTCTTTTTCATCTTATCTCACAGATAATGTGCTTTAGAATGAGATGCAGAGTTGTTAGTGTGACACTGGGTGACAAACAAAATGCACAAACAACAAAAAAGTGCTTTTAGCAGGCAGTTCATGTTGCAATTTTATTTTAAAATATACAGTCACATTCTAGTTTAGCAGAAATGCTGAAACAAGTATTCCCTAGTTGTTTCTGGCAATAAAAGTGTCCCATCCCCTTTAAAAAAAGACTTTATAGAACAATATTCTGTTCTTGTTAACTCTTTGGGTCCCTGAAGGTGTATAAGACTATTGGCAAATTTTCTAGTGTGCCATCTGAATTTCAGAATGTTGCTGATGTATTACAAAAACCCAGTGTTATTTACTAAAACAAACTTTAGCTTGGACTTCAGAGAAGTTATGTTTCCCCCAGATATGAATATTGAAAGGCTTACACGTACTGTAACTGCATTCATCCAGTTACATATTTTATTGCATGCCTGAATGATTGTCTGCTTCCTGCAATGAGTAGAATTAGCAAGTGTGGTTTTTTTGTATGAGTCTTGGAAAGGGCAAATGAGGAGTGAGTAAATAAGCAGTTGTGAGATTTGTGGCATCCGTAGTGCTGGAATCTCCTTTCAGACGTCCTTCAGTAGCAGAAGACTCCAGCCGTCGTTCACTAAAAATGGGGGTAAGGAGAAACACAGAAGTGTTTTGGCCACTTACAGGGAAATCATATTCCAAGTCTAGATGAATAGAAGGATGTGTGCATGTGAAACATTTACCAGAGTAACTTAGAAAAACTTTTTGAACTCTAGCTACAAAAGCATCAGTCATGTGCATTAGAAACATCCAATATTCTTGTTCCTATATTGTTCCAGTATTCATTGCACATTGTAATAGATTCCTTCCAATCATGGAGAAGTTCTCTTTCAGCATGAAGCTACCAGAATAATTATTATTTTTCTTTTTATAAGTGGAAAGACTCACGACTTTGTCAGGCAAATGGGAGGATCTATAGCATGCTATATTAACAAAGATATTGCTGGGGAATTTTGCAAGATTTTTATTTTACTTGGCTAGTCCAGGTAGCAGTAACGTTTGAGATAAAGGAACTATCTGTGTAAATTATATTAAATGCCAACATGAATGTTTGTTTTTTGTTTTCAATAAAACTTAGACCTTGAATTTCAACAGGGTCTATTTTGTATGTGTAAATACTAAGAAAATGATATAATTAAAATGATATAATTAACGTAAAAGACACTAAACAAGTTACAGTATTGTTTCATCAGATAATGCCATGTTTCTTTTCCACATAGTTATGGGATGCCTCAGCAGAACAATTTCTTTTGGGTTGTCTAGTTCATTTTGTTTATTCATTCCAGTTTTTCGAAGGAAATTATTAAATGGCTGAGGTATATGGGCGATGGTTAGTTATACGAAGCAGAAACTCTTAATTGAAAGTGTGCTATTCCCTACTAGACAGCTGCCTCCCATAAAATAAAGTAATTCTTTTTCTATAATGTGTCTTATGCAAGAAGCTCTTGAAAAAACAAGCTTGGACTTGGTTTGTAGACCCTGTTTCTAATTATAGTATAAAAATAATGTCTGTGTGTTTCCCAAACAATCTTCTGTCAAAGTAAGGGGGAGTTACAGACTTGTGTACCTTCAGAAAATAAGACTTTATTATCTTTTGAACTAGTAGTAGTAGTACTTTATTATGGTCAACGACCAGTAAAACCAAAACAGCATAAAATAGATACATACAATTATTGTTTTCGGCAGGATAATAAAATTCAATTAAAACATGATAAAACAACCCCTTCTTTCCAATTAATAACATCATATATCCTTAATATTGGTAAAACCTCAGGCAGTGTCATATTAAAAACATATTATTCATCTAAAATCACCTACCCAAACATCTGTTTACGAACAACCATTGCTGCAGCACAGAATTTGTTCACTTGTCTTGTGATATAAGGGGTGTTGTCTGAGAGTAGCCTTTTGAACTGGTCTTTAAGACTTTTGAACTGGTCTTTAAGATGGAAAAATGTGACTGTGTAAGTACTGTTTTCTTTAGTGGCATAAGTTTGATCTAAAATTGAACTGCAGACCCCTTGTGCATAAAATGAGAAACATTCCCTAAGGCCAGGAAGGCTAGCCTTGCTAGACTCTAAGGCTAGACTCTTTAATTAGAAATTTGTCTTTACTCACACAGTTAAAGGATTGATACGGATTAATCCCTCTGACCCTTGATGGCCTTTCTCAGATAGTGATTAAAACAAAAAAAATCATTTAGGTGAGTATTTAATGGTTAGGAACAGATGTTCAGTCATTAAAAATGTAGGGCTTTCCCTTTTTGCCCTCCTCTTAACAGTTCTGTGTCCCTTATTAAACCCAGTTGGGGAATCTCTTGGTAAGTCATAGATAAAAGGGGGGGGGGCTTTCATAGATATAATCAGCAGTCATAATATTACTTCAATTGCATTGGAGATGTCACATGAATCTATCCTTAAAGAGGCAACAAGATCTTTTTATCCTTCTGTATTTGTATAAATTTATTTAATAAAGTTTACATCTGCAGTTTTAAATAAGTAAGCATGAAGCTTACATTTGTATTTCCAGTGGAAAGAAATGTTCAGTTTTGCTGTGAAAAAGAATTGCTAAATTAGGAATAAATAGGAATTTGGAGTGGCTGTGCAGGACCGTAAAACAAAGTCCAGAATATTGGCTGGATGGTCTTTGGAGTGAACTGCTGTGAGCTTCTGTACCTCTAGAATAAGGTCAACTGAAGTAGTCCAGGTATTCCAAAAACATATTCGGATGTACCCACAGCAGCAATATACATCATTATATAGGCATGCATTCTTCCATATATATGTAAAAGCATTTGAATGTAGATTTTGTCCATGTCAAATTTTAATCTCTGATAGCACACAGGATGGTGACTTTTAATGAGCCAATTGAAAATAGTTTCTGATGGTAGTAGACATGTTTTACATGTATGATCAATATATAATAAGTATCTACTAATCACTGGTCATCTGCCTTTTAGCTTCATCCTTGAAATTCAAATATGTTTTCATGGTAACAGGAGTCCAGTGTGTCTTTATGAGAAATATGAGGAATTAGGTAATTTGCAGTGTTAAGAAAGCTAGGAAGAAAAATTGTCCTTAATAGTTTTATTTTAATTCTTGTATATAGAGTCATAGAGTTGGAACAGACCACTGAGGCCATCCAGTCCAATCCCCCGCCATGCGGGAACATCCATCAAAGTACTCCCAGTAGATGGCCATCCAGCCTCTGCTTAAAAACATCCAAAGGAGACTCCACCACCCTTTAAGGCAGCTTATTGCACTGCCGAACAGCTCTGACCGTCAGGAAGTTCTTCCTAATGTTCCGATTGAATCTCTTTTCCTGTAGTTTGAAACCATTGCTCCGTGTCCTAGTCTCTGGAGCCCTGGAAAACAAACCTGTCCCCTCTTCAGCATGACATCCTTTCAAATATTTAAACATGGCTATCATGTCCCCTCTCAACCTTCTTTTTGTAAGGCTAAACATTCCCAACTCCCTAAGGCGCACCTCGTAAGACATTGCTTCTAGGCCTTTAGCCATTTTAGTTGCCTTCCTCTGGACACATTCCAGGTTGTCAACATCCTTTTTGAATTGAGTTGCCCAGAACTGGATGCAGTATTCCAGGTGAGGTCTGACCAAAGCAGAATAGAGTGGTACTATCTCTTTCCTTGATCTAGACACTATACTCCTATTGAAGCAACCAAGAATCACATTGGCTTTCTTGGCAGCCGCATCACCATGCTGACTCATGTTCAGCTTGTGGTCTACCAAGACTCCTGGATCCCTTTCACAGGTACGGTTGTCTAGCCAGGTGCCTTCCATCTTATATCTGTGCAGTTCATTTTCTCTGCCTAGCTGTAGGGCTATACATTTATCCCTGTTGACATTCATTTTGTTAGTTTTGTCCCAGGACTTTAATCTGTCAAGGTCATTTTGAATTTTAATGTATTTGTATTTTTCCTTACTGTGAAATAAAATATAACCCAGCTAAAACGACCTTAACTTTCCAATCTATTGATTACAATTGGCCTGGGTTGGTTAATGAGTTCACTGATGTATCAATTTAAAAGTTAAAGTCATAACATAAATGGTCAGTTGTGACTGCAGACAGCTAAAGTATTTAAAGAGAAAGTTAGCCTCAGTAAATACACTAGGAAAGAGGAATGCTACTGTCTATGACCTGGCTGAAGTAACAAGCCCTCTACATTTCTGCATAGCTGCCATTTGTGTGAATTAGAAAAGAAGCCAGGAAATTCTCATTTAAAACACACTGAACACACAGATCTTGTCTGATACAGGAAACTAAGGACAGTCAGTCCTGGTTAATATTTGGATGAGGGAACTACCAAAGACTAATAGGGATCTATAGGTAAGGCTGGAAAAGAATTCCTGCCTGAAATCTCAGGAGAGCTGCTGCTAGTCAAAGTTGACTGTACTGGGCTGGATGATTTGGTATCAGCAGCTTCCTGTGGTCCTTGGCACTTGCATGAAAAAGTACAGTCTAAATAATGAAATGGTGAAACTGTAGTTTCCCATTGAATCCAAACTGTGCCATGGGGAACTGTGGCGTTTCCAAAGAAACCAGGATGTCACGTTGTGCCTTTAGGTACAGGCTTGTTGAGAATCTGTTGACCATAGTTTCCTGGTGCTGATGTAAGAGGAAGCAGCTATTAATTGAAGATAATCTTGCTTGGTTGATTTGTGTGAGAGGTAAAGCAAAGTAACTGCATGTGGGAGCTGTGAGGTTTGTTCATAACCAGCACTTCTGGGTTCAGTATATGTTTCGTACCATATGCATTTAAACTATGTTTGTGGTGCTGTAGTCAAAACTCTGCTCATGACCTTAGTTCAGTCCCAAGAGGCTCAGGTAGCAGGCTCAAGGTTGAGTCAGCCGTCCATCCTTCCAGGGTCAATAAACTGAATTCCCAGATCATGAGGAGGAGGGCAATGTGTAGCCTGCATAATTAAATTGTAATTGGAACTTTAAGCACTGTTGGAGTGATGCACTTTGCCTTAGTAGTATTCTAAATCAGAATTCTTACAGTATCTGCTTAAAAGTAAGGCCAGCAGGTATAGTTTTGTGATGTTTTCTACTGTATCTTTTGGATTCTTGTCTTTTGAATATATCAAACCTTATTCACTGTGGTAACTGCATTGAAACCCAATGTTTCTCCTAATGTGGATCTGAAAGGTTTTTTTAATTGTAGAATCACAAGCGAAATGTATTTTATTACAGAACATTGACACATTACAAATATGAAACATAAGCTGACTGTCAAAATCTGAAAGGTATTGAGCAAAACTATATTGTAATTATTTCTTTCTGGATAAATTTGCCAGTTTTCAGCCAAAATCAGTCAGTGTTCTGTTTTAAGGCAAACTTGAGTAGATGATGCGACTTTAATTTAGTTTGACTTGCCGGCATGTATTTTTAAGTGCTCAAAGGGAATTCACATTTGATTATTTGCACCATAGTGCACTGCATAAAATATTCATAGAAGTGTCACTTTTCCATAGGTGGCACTCCAGGGTAAAGACAGGGACTTCAGGAAACTTTGTGTTTTTTTTAGTAACAAATATGTGAGGCAGCTTGGGAAAAAAAGGAGAAAGCATATGCTACTTAGATCTGATATCCTGCAGCATCTGACAAATCATTTTTATGCTAACAAAAATAACAGTACCTGCATAGGTTTTGACATGAATCCAGAATTAGTTAACTAGATGTGATGTAATAAAATTCAGCATGTGGATTTTGCAGATAAGTGCTTATCCAGAGTGTCTTGGGGGTAACTTTTAAATAATGGTTATAGAAGTTTATCATTTTATTTCTAATAATGCAGTTAAATTAACAGATGTTGATTTTTTTTTTATAATGCACGGTGCATTTCTACTGATAAATGTCCTATGTACGTTACAGTCCAGACCTGATTTTGTTTATAGTAACACATCTCCTCTACTCCATTCAAACCCCTCTGTAAAATCCAAATTTTGTGTAAGGGCTTATGCTTAACCTCTTAAATCCCTGTTCTTCATTGTAACCAGGCTTAATATCAAGGTTTGAACAGGTAACTGTTTTATACTGTTGCTTCCAGGAATCCCCCAGCCGCTATAATTTCTAGTCATGCTTACTGGAGGAATTTGGAAAGTATAGTAAACAACAACAACAAACCTTGTCCAAAAACAAATATATTTAATTCACAGAAATGCTCCAGTAACAACTAAAAATTCTTAATTTTTAAAGCTACACACTTGCTAAATGACAAGGTGAACAATTGGAGAACTGGAGAACCGTTGGATAGCTTAGGAGCTTGATTCCCCTCTGTGTCTCCTTGACAGGAGCTGGACTTAATGATTGATAGAGTCCTTTCCAGCTCTGTACTTTGATGATGTTGATGATAATTGCAAAGAAAAGTCTTGCCTTTTGATAGCGTTATTGGAACCTCACCAAGGATGTTAATGTGCAAGCAGACTTGATGGAAATAGATCCTCCTTCAGGTACTTGGGTTCCAATCAATTTAAGTTATAAATGTCAAATGCAGTGTTTTGAATTGGTAGCTGATGAAGTTCTGAAAACTGGCACATTATGCATACACCTAGCCATTCCAGCCCAAAATCTGGCATGCATACTCTGTATCTGGGGCATGTCATGAGAATGGCTGATGGTCAGATTCCAAAAGATCTCCTGTATGGAGAATTAGTGCAGGGAAAGCACCCCAGAGGGAGACCACAGCTGCGATACAAGGATATCTGCAAGCGGGATCTGAAGGCCTTAGAAATGGACCTCAACAGATGGGAAACTCAGTCTGGAGGCAGGCAATACAGCATGGCCTCTCCCAATTTGAAGAGACACTTGTTCAGAAGGCTGAGGCAAAGAGGCAGTCCCGAAACCAGCAAAATCAGGGAGCTGGAGAGGGGACTGATTGTATTTGTCTTCAGTGTGGAAGGGATTGTCACTCTCGAATTGGCCTTCTCAGCCACACTAGACACTGTTCCAAGTCCTCCATACAGAGCACGATACCATAGTCTTTTGAGACCGAAGGATGCCTACCAGGATACTCTCTATCAGTTGACCCTCTGAGTTACTTTGAAGAGCAGCCCCAAGCATAACACATGGCAGTTGTCCAGCTGGGGGGGGGTAACAGTGGAGCATGGGTTATTTTAGTCAAGACTGGTGCCTATACTGTCTAGAAACTGTTGCAACTGGCAAACCAGCTGAAATTGATGGAATGTGTTCTCAAGTTACAGAAGCACCTTGGACTTCCAGTGAGGGGCTCAGACGCCCTCTTTCGATTATAAATTCTTTCTTCTTTTGCTTGCTCCTTGGTTCAGCAACACACTAACCAGGGTTTGAACTAATCAGGGTGGGGGGAGAGGTCAGAGTTCCTTTGGGCACACCCTAAGAGTGTGGAGTGCCCTTTTTCAAAAAGCAAAAGTGACTAGTGAGCAATATCCTTGGTACTTGGCAAAATAAGTTGCACTAGAGCAGTGGAAATTGGATGACTCAACTCCTCCCTAAGTTTCATTGATTCAGTCGGTCTACTCTAGTTGTGATTTACTACACTAAAATAAGTTACTGCTAGAGTAGGCCTATTTGAACCAATGGATCTTAGGGAGGAGTTGTCTCACACAATTCCCACTGATTGAGTGGAGCTACAGTGGACCCTCAACTTACAGAGGCCTCCACTTACAGATTTTTCGATTTACAGACTTCTCTGGTCGCAAAATTTAGGTTTGACTTGCAGCCGGAGAATCAACCTACAGACCAGGAAAAAAACCCAAAATGGAACAGAAATGGCCAGTTACAGATTAATCGGTTTTCGATGCATTGTAGGTCAATAGAGCCTCGACCTACAGACTTTTCGACCTGCAGCCACCGTTCCAATATGGATTAATTCCATAAGTCGAGGATCCACTGTACTATAGTGCAGCTTGCTATGCTAAGTAACGTACTTCCATGTAAAAGAGACAACCTGCTTATTCACCAAAGCTTTTCATCAATATTAAGTTTTGTAATATGATTTTGTTGATCATCTTTTGAATTTTTATAATTTTTAACTTGCTTTTCCCCTCCCATACACACACACTTGCTTTTCTTAATCAGATTTGTTGGGTTTTGTTTACTGATTGTTTTTTTTAAATTTATTGAAAAGTGGCCCATAAATGTTTTATCGGTAATAATGTTTTGTGTATGTCCAGAGAAGTGTGAGGGGTGGCATTCTTATACTTCATTGCTTCAGTTTGCTTTCCTTTAACTTTTGAAGGCCAGGTCTTTTCAAGATCTTCAGAACATATGACTGGAGCGAGGGGGCTTGAACATCCTGCTTTGATGTAGCAACAAACTGTGCCTGTATTTTTTAAATGTATGGAGGCAAATGAGAATTTTCATTTGGATACTCTGAAGTATTGTGTTTTTCTTTCAATAGTAGCACAAATTGGCAAGTGTCCTTAGTCTTTATCCCTCTCCCCAAGGCCACCATGTGTTTCAAGTGGAGTTTTCACAATTCTAGTTTTAAATGATTGAAAGGTTGGGTAGATTTCAGCTTGGATAAAGACTTTGTGTTCCGAATTCAGTGCTTCTGAATTCTGACTCCTCCCTTGATGTTGGATTAATTTTTTCTGGTGTGGTGCTTTCTGCATTGGTTTAATACATCTCTTTTAATAATGAGTTAATGTGATTTCACTTATATTAGGTTAACATCCTTGTTATTTATTTGTAATCTTAACTCAATATTGTATTTGGAAAGAACAATACTTCTCTAACCCTTGTAGTTTGTAAGTGGTTTATGATTTGCAATTTTGTTTATATTGTGGAGAAAGTACTTCTGATTTCTTAACTTAGAACTTGATTACTGAGGGACAAGAAATAAAAGGCTAAATAGAACATAAATAAAAGTACTTCTGGCAAAACTATTAAGTTCTCTTTTCCTTGAAGCAGGACAAAAATTTATAGTTTGAACGATTCTTTTATTAGAATACTAAATTGAGCTTCTGAATAGCTGCAGTTGCTTATCATCTGTTTTTTTCCCTTTAGGTGCAGTTGAGGTTCTCAAAGTAATGCATGAAATGGATGTAGTGGCTGATGAGAACACATATAGCAACTATGTTTTATCACATTTTGATGATGACGTCAGCTCTGCAGGCCGTCGGCTACAGGTGAGTTAAGACAATCTGAATTCTTTAGAGCCCAGGTTTAAACATAGTGTGCAACCAAGGAGAGGTGTGCAGCTTTGTGCTATTGCTTCCAGAACAAATTTATTTATTTATTTGATTTATACCCCGCCTATCTGGCCCACCAGGCCACTCTAATGTTCCTAATGTTGCACTTCTTATGAGAGTATTGAATTTTTATGACTGTTATTCTGTAGAGGTTAGTCTTAAGGACTGTGGATGGTTCTGTTCAGTGGATTACAAATAAAGCAATAGTTTACTCTGGCTAATGAAATACGTAACAATTTCATGGTCATATTATAAATTATGGGAATTGTAGTCTAACAACAGAAATGCCTCTTTTTCTGTAAACAGTGCTGTGATGTGCACCTCTGTTGCTAAGTTTCTTTTTTCTTTAGCAACAGATGATCTGAGGCAGACTTTGTTTTGAAAATGCTTGCATCCTTATATCTACTTATATGGAAGTAAACTCCATTTAATGTAGTGTGGCTTACTTACATGTACATTATTTCCTTTTAAGACCTTGAATAATGCTGCAAGCTGGCGTTGAAAGTTTTGTATAGCACAGTTTTCTGATATAGACCACTTAGTGCAGCAAATGTACTATAATCTTCACTAGAACTCCCAAGTCCACCAATCAAAGCCAGGTACAAGACAGGTTAAAGAAGGCAGACATAACTGTAGAACAAAATGCCTTTGAGAACATGTTTGGGTCTCTAGTTTGTTTTTAGCAGCAGAACTGGAGTTCAGACTCACATCCTTTTGTGCATAACTGTACTGTTACATTTCTCCAGACTTCCTTGATTTTCTAATACAGGAATGAGGAAGCCTGTTATTAAACTCTTAAGAGTAGGGAGCTCCTATTGCTCAGTTACAGATTACCTGGAGATCTGCCAGTCTATCTTCTGTCCACTTTGATGTTGGCTGGATTTAAACCCATTTTTTGATTTCTGAAACCTTGCATGCATGCTTTGGATATCTGTGAATTTCAAAAAATCAAACATTTCCCAAAATAGATAAATCCTAATTGGTTGCTGTAATAATCAGATGTAATTGCTTTGTAGCTAGTTCTGTCCTTTATACAGCCTAGGAATATAATTTGAAATCTTCGGCCATGTAGTCCACATAAATTTTATATACCAAAATTATGTACTATTTTATTTCCTTGAAAGCTGACCTCTTTTTTTTATATATTGAAATCATCCCTGTGAGATTCAAAACTTTATCGGCAGTTTTGGCCGTAGTTTAGCGTAGTTCCAATAAAAGTATTGCCTGATTGGGCTATAGATTGCTTTCCTTAAAGAACAGCATGGGTTACTTTGACCAGACTCCTGCATAAAGAAATGGTGTGCAATCATACCACAGTTTTTCCCTTTCTGGTGTGGCCCACTTGTAACCTGTGTGAGACTCTGCACATAAACAGAAGCCTACATAGGCAGGAACACGTATGTGACTAACCTTCCGCTCTGTACTCCCTTAACAGTATTCTCAGCTTTGAATTTAGAACATAATGCAAAATGAATACATTTGCTGTTTTGTGTAATTCATATTTATCACAGAATTTGAACTTCATTGATGAAGAATTTGTATGTTTAAAGTACTGGATTTTCACCATTGTACATTTATTTATTATTATTGATTTTTTTTACTCATATTGTATTTATATTGTCAAGGGTACAACATACTGTTGAGTTAGACATACCTAAACAGGCCAATTTCTGTAGATTTAGGTTCCAGTGGATTTAGGCCTACCACATTTTGCGAATGATGGGGCTGAAAAGAAGAAAACAAAGCTAGTCTGTTTTGGAATACAGCATTATTAAAACCTCCTTTTGCCTTGAGCTTAATACGCTTTTCAGCAACAAATTCATACTTCATCTTCATGCAGGTTTTGTAAAGTTACACTGATATTAAGCATAATTTTAGAAGTGGCCTTGCCAGTTTAACATTTCTCAGTGATCTAACATGAAGAGCTAGAAAGTTTGCATTGGGACTGGATTTCCAAGAAAATTGGAAGTGATCTCCTGTTTGAAAGAATTGTTTTGTGGCTTCAGCTACATATTAAATGGGATTAGAAAGAGGGCAGTTCTTTTTTTAAAAAAAATAGTGCTTCATATTACTTCTGGCAGAAAGAACTTCCTAAGGTTGAACAGTGTAAACGAACTTCATTGATGAAGAATTTGTATGTTTAAAGTACTGGATTTTCACCATTGTACATTTATTTATTATTATTGATTTTTTTTACTCATATTGTATTTATATTGTCAAGGGTACAACATACTGTTGAGTTAGACATACCTAAACAGGCTAATTTCTGTAGATTTAGGTTCCAATGGATTTAGGCCTACCACATTTTGCGAATGATGGGGCTGAAAAGAAGAAAACAAAGCTAGTCTGTTTTGGAATACAGCATTATTAAAACCTCCTTTTGCCTTGAGCTTAATACGCTTTTCAGCAACAAATTCATACTTCATCTTCATGCAGGTTTTGTAAAGTTACACTGATATTAAGCATAATTTTAGAAGTGGCCTTGCCAGTTTAACATTTCTCAGTGATCTAACATGAAGAGCTAGAAAGTTTGCATTGGGACTGGATTTCCAAGAAAATTGGAAGTGATCTCCTGTTTGAAAGAATTGTTTTGTGGCTTCAGCTACATATTAAATGGGATTAGAAAGAGGGCAGTTCTTTTTTTAAAAAAAAATAGTGCTTCATATTACTTCTGGCAGAAAGAACTTCCTAAGGTTGAACAGTGTAAACTGATATTAATGCAAGAAGGTTGGAGGACTAAAGCTTGCCTGGGAGACAGAGTCTGTTTGGTATGCTAATGCCACACCTAAATTTGAACCTGGATTTTTATATACATCCATATATCAGGTGTTCCTTTGCTTCATCACCATTGTGATTTGTCATAGGAAATGGGCTGTCCTATTGGCGTTAAGGAACTCTCTCTAGGCCAAATCATGTATGAAGGTACTGAAGGACGTTTGGACAAAGTTTTAGCAATATGTGAGTATTCCTAATGTTGCACTTCTTATGAGAGTATTGAATTTTTATGACTGTTATTCTGTAGAGTTCAGTCTTAAGGACTGTGGATGGTTATGTTCAGTGCATTACAAACAAAGCAATAGTTTACACCGGCTGCTGAAATAAATAACAATTTCATGGTCATATTATAAATAGAACTCCTGAGCATATGCTAAATGGAGGATGTGAATTTGTAAATCTAATAAATAAGAAAAGACAGTGTTGAGGGAAGATGGAGGAGATACACTGCAAAAATTTTCTAAGACATATAAAACTCATTAGAAGTATTCACATTTCTCTACAATATTAGAAATACAACTAACATAATTTATCTTAAAATGTTCTTAAACTTCAATGAAGGGAATATAAAATCACACCCGAGGAAGAATTTGATCAGATCTTGAAACAGGAAATCAGTCTGAACTTCTTATTTTAATATTTAGTTTTCTACCTTGACAATATGAATATGAGACTTTCATAAAGTAAGAATGATAGAAGAGAAAGTATGACAGCATAAATCAGCAGAGATTTAAAGTGATGGTGTCTATTGATGTATGTAATTTGCACTAAACTTTTACTGTAATTTAAATACAATTAATATTCTCTGAATTCATGGATCTTTTGCTTCTATGTTTGTCCAGTTCTGAAAGGGTTACATCTAGCATTAACTAACCTGTGGAAGCATCCATGAAAAAAACTAATACAAAATCATATAGTTTGTATTCTTTTCAAGATAAAGCTTGTGTGTATGTGTGTTTGCTGTTAAGTCAGAAACGACTTATAACAACCCTAATCGGACTTTCAAGGCAAGTGAGATCTTTAAGGAGTGATTATATGAGTTCTACTCCCCAGTGAGTTTCCATGGCTAAGTGGGAATTCCAACCCGGTTCTTCAGAGTCCTAGTCTATCATTCTATCCAATACACTACAGTGGACCCTTGACTTACAGACTTTTTGAGTTACAGACTTCTCTGGCCGCAAAATTTAGGTTTGACTTGCAGCCTGAGAATTGACTTACAGACCTGAAAAAAACCAAAATGGAACAAAAACAGCCTGTTACAGAATTAATCGGTTTTCAATGCACTGTAGGTCAATGGAGACTTGATCTACAGACTTTTTGACTTGAGAACTGCCTTCCAATACGGATTAAGTTCTCAAGTCAAGACCCCACTGTACACTGGGAATCCCATTTAGAGTGTTCAAATTAAACTGTGAGGTTGAGACAGTGGTTTTACCCTACTTGGACTAAACTTAATTTTCCATATAGTCATTCCATATCCCAAGGGCTTTTTTTTTAAGTTCCTTTAATAATTGACCATGTTTTTCACTTGTATAAATTCACCTTTGTTGCTAGTGTTGCTTTGCTAGCAAATAAAACACCTCATTTTCAGTGTCTGTGGGGGTTGCTACAGATTTCAAGGTCATTCTTTTTTGTTCTAAGTACAGCAATGTAAATCCTAACCTTCTAGTGCTTTTACAGGATGTTCAACTTTGAATTCCACATTATTATGTTTGAATTCCACATTATGCACAATTATGTTTTCATTAGCTTCTGCCCATGGTAAACAATGAATGGATGAATTTCCTGGAACTGTTATAGAAAATGTTTATATTGTTCCTTACCTTGAATCAAAACTCCTGCTTCAAGAAAAGCACCTAGTGTTTGTCATGTATGTTGCACAACAGATACACAGTTATTCTTTCCCTACTCAAATTTTTTTTGGAGTTGTTCAAGCCGTTTTCCTGCCTGAGGCACAGCAGCAAATGTTGCCCCACCTCATGGTAAGCATATAGTACTTAAAAACTGGCCAAGTCTGTGGACTTACGAGGCAGAAGATCTTACAGCCATCTTTTCATCATCTTACTTATAAGAAAGCAAAGAATAAAGACATTAGATATTGAATAATTAACTTCTGCCTCACTCTGCCTGATGTTAGGGCCAGTTCTGCTCCTTTATTATCAGATTTTGAAACTGAGAGCTCAATATACATGTTCCTATCAGGATGATCAAGGTAGCTGGAGAGTAGTACCAGTTTGTACCAGTGTGACACATGAAAGAGTCTACACAGTTATGTTTCAGGGCATGACAGTCTTGGGACCATTATCAGAGATGTTTTGCCTGTATTTCAAGTGAAAATTCTCTTTTGATTATAAACTGTGGAGAGAGACCTCTGTCATTTCATTTGAATTTGAGAAATGTGCTTATGAAGTATTTTTCCTGGTCCAAACCCCTTTACATCTGAAGATGCATTAATGCATACTTCCCATAGCACTTTTGAAAGCAAAACTAAGTGGAGCCTCAGCTCCTAAAATGTTAGTGTCTAGATTAAACTTTTGAATGTGCAGTTTGCTGTGTTTGCTGCTTCTAGGTTTTTTTTAAGGGGCGCAGTATTAAAAGATTTAATTAAAGCTTGCTTTTGTTGTGCAGCTGGTGAGGAATAAGGCAGCCTGTTAATGCAGACTCCTATCAAGGGTTATTGATTCTTTTTCCAATCCCTTCTAATGTATAGATTTCTGTTACTGACAAGCTGGAAACTGAAGCATCAGTTAAGGAATCTGGCCACATAAGACAGCATGCAGAAGAGCAGCTGTTTCCCCTTTATCATACCATTCCATTCCACTTCATTGTCATCTGCTTTTGATTTTCTCAGACTTCGTTTGTTGCTAAGGAAACCAGGTTGCAGACTGTCAGCAGCAGCTGAGCATACAAAGAGGAACTATGGCCTGATTTTTTATTTTTATTTTTTTTGGTTTGTTATTTTAAATGAACAAAACTTCCAAACAGATATTTTTTAAAAAAACTTTGGTTTTTTTTTTAAAAGAAAGATCAACAAAACTTAGATAATATTTGATGGGAAACAAGCTGTTTTTCTACAGTAGGACTATTTTGCATGGAGAATCACTTCCTTATTCCGCTATGTCTGACATCCTTTTTATATAATTGGGAAAATATGTCTACTCTTGGATGTTTGTACACCATTGTAATGCAGTGTTTTAGAGTGTCAGACTGAGACTCTGCAGACCTGGGTTCAACTCCGACTTGCTCATAAAACTCACTTGGTGTCTTTGGCTCTTTCTTAGACATACCTACCTCACAAGATTGTTGTGAAGATAAAGAGGAAAAGATCTATGTTCACTGCTATAAGCTTATTAGAGAAAAGTGAGATATAGATGTAACAAATAAGCATGCATCAATAAATATGTGAGAGTTGTATGTCCATGTAACTTAACGGCCTGTGGTCTGTGCTTTGAAAGCATTGGCACTGGGAGGAGTGAGCTGCGGTGCTCATGTTGAAATACCTGTGTTTGGGATAGGTAGGAGCCTGAGCATTTGAACTGCTAGAAGTCCTGTATAAATGCTGGTGTCTGGAGCCATTTAATATCAGTTTTGGATCACTTTTTCCAAACTTCAAAATTAGAGATGGGCATGAACCACTGATTTTCACAGTTCATGTCAGGTTGTTTAGTGACCAGACAGGTTTTTCCAAACTTCAAAATTAGAGATGGGCACGAACCTCTGATATTCACAGTTCATGTCAGGTTGTTTAGTGGCCAGGTTCAGCGCTTCCCAGTGCCCTCTCCTCTGAGTCGGTACTTGCTGGTGGAGGCGAGGCTGGGAAACACTGAATACCTAAACAAACTAGTATGAATCACTGAACCAGCAGTGTGTGCACATTTCTAGTCACGAACCATGGTTTCCTGGACAGAAACATCGGTCTTACGCACTCATCTCCTTGTTGCAGAGCAACTTTGATCCTTAGTAGCTTGAACTAAACCAAAATGCTCTTCACCCACACTTCTGTTCATCAGTCTGTGAGCCACACTTAAGCTTTTGCACACACTTGTTAGGGCTCCATAGGCTTGATGAATTTAGTTTGCTAGATAAATTACTGAGGGGTGATCGACAGTTTACAGATGTACACAGTTGACACCAATTTACTAGGTGACACCGTTGCGAAACGCTGAGTCTGCAGTAACTGCGTCCTTCCGTTATTGACAAAAACTGCCAAGTTCTGCAATCGAAAGCTATTTAATGAATGAATGGAAGTAATTGATAGTTGGATTTTTAAAATGCTTTTGGAAAATAATGTGTTGACTTACAAAGACTGTTTTGAGAAATAGATACAATTTAAATAACTTTCATTTGATATTGTTTAATAGATGTGTTCAAGAAAAACAAGGGTTAACACATTCTAAGGCATTTTATGTATTCTGCAGTGTCTTCCCCAAATATGCCAGCTATGGATTGCACAGAATTCAGAAGATCTCTAATCTTGGGATTCAAGGCGTAAGTGTTTGGAAAGTTTCTGTACTTTGAATTGTCTTTTTATTTTCCAATCCTAGCTGTTAGTTCCATGGTAAGGCAAATAGCTCTCTCTCTCTTTCTCTCTCTCTTTCTCTTTCTCTTTCTCTTTCTCTTTCTCTCTCTCTCTCTCTCTCTCTCTCTCTCTCTCTCTCTGTGTGTGTGTGTAATATGTATAACATATAGACACACACACATATACTGTACATATTTAGTTGGACTTAACACTCTTAGTAAGCTGGGATGCTATGGGAGAAGCTAGGTGAAAAACCATCTTCTGACATTCTGATTTGGTATGTAGAGAGGAGCTATTTGGGGGCAAAATCCTGTCTGCATAAATTTTTGACAGTGTAACCAGTCACCAGAAACATTTAATTTAAGCTCACAGAAAGTTTCCTGCACATACTCTTTCAGGTTTTGAGGCTCCCTGGGTCTCCTTTTTACCCTGGGAAGTGTTTTGGAGCCTCAGGATTGATGGTTTTAATAGTAAAAAAATTCCTGCTGGATTGATGATCCCAATCTGGTGGTGATTTTTGGCTATTAAAGGATGTTGCCCCTGTGTTCCAAGGCTCCTAAGGGCAAAAGGAAGCCCTATGGAGCTCTGAAATCTGGCATGGGGGAATAAGAAACTTTCCAAGACTTTAAATTATATTTTTCTGATGCCCAATCCATGTTACGCCATTGCCAAGTTATGCAACAGAATTTCACCAATGTGTCTTCTGTTAGATTTCTTCACTGTTCTTTCTGATATCTAGTAACTGTTGAGTTTTGTGTGGTTGCACAGCAAAAAACAAGGCAGTTCTTATTAATACTTTATATTAAATGTATAGTATATATACACATAAACATAGATATATATTGTCCAACTGATTATTTTTGATGATCTACTTAGATAAGGGGAATTCTTGGGATGTATATACTATTGTCTGACAGATTATTTTTGGTGTTCTACTTAGATAAGGGGAATTTCTGGCAAACATGCTTATAACTATATATAGTTATAAGCAAGTTTGCCAGAAATTCCCCTTATCTAAGTAGAACACCAAAAATAATCAGACAGTAGTAAAAAGAAGAAACAATATTTGCTTACAAAATTATGGGATCGAAATCTTGACATAAAGACATGGGGTCATTAATTGTAAAAATAATAATTTGGTCTGCTAGAAAATAGTTTTTCTCTCGTTGAGGAGAGAATTCAACATACTGTAACTTCTGCCTCGCAAGATGGAGGAGGAACAGCAGGAACTAACTGAAAAACAAAGTGCCTCAAAGTAAAGAAGGTTGAGCACTTTATGCCAAGAAGAAAAGAGAGCTGGTTTCTTAAGAACAAGTGAATAAACAAGTTAGTTTTCTTAGAGAGGTTTTCTCTTCTAAAGGGAATCATGTTAGTAATTGGTCCATACATAGCATCCTGGGTTGCTACATATTTCAACAGAAACTCCCATGTTTGAAACTGTTAACCAGCATCTGAAAGATTTGCTCAATATGATTGGGAAAGGGTATGGTCATGTACAGTCCTGATCCAGCTGTTTCTGACCTATCACTTTTGGTAAAATGTATACCATGAAAAAGAGGGATATGGTGGTGCTGTGGGTTAAACCGCAGAAGCCTCTGTGCTGCAAGATCAGAAGACTAGCAGCCGTAAGATCAAATCCATGCGATGGAGTGACTTACTGAACAATAAGACAAGAAGACTCCTTGGAAAAGACCTTGATGTTGGGAAAGTGTGAAGGCAAGAGGAGAAGGGGGCGACAGAGGATGAAATGGTTGGACAGTGTCATTGAAGCAACCAACATGAACTTGACACAACTACGGGAGGCAGTGGAAGATAGGAGGGCCTGGCGTGCTCTGATCCATGGGGTCACGAAGAGTCGGACACGACTGAACAACTAAACGACCAAGTCACTTATGGCACCGATTACCTGGTTTTTCTTTAAAAATGAGTCCACCAAAACACTGGAAATTTCAGAACCTGAGTTGATGTGTTAAAATTGTGTTTCATTTGTAATATACTTCCCCATTCCATGAATCATCTTGGAGGAGTTTTGAGAGATGTTTTCTAAATGCAGAATGTCACCTCTCAAAGGGATAAGCATGAGAGAACTGACATGTACACCTAACGATGCACATTCAGGTAGCTAGATGCTTGTGCAGCTTTTTACCTTTGATAGTTCAGAGCATATCCCTCACTACAGTGTGCTACTTTTCTTGCAAGAGAACTTCAGTTGCTGTGTCACATTGATGAGTTTTTTGGAGAACAATATTGCATTTCTTCGACTCAAGGCAGTTGTTTTTTTAAAAGGCAAATAATTTAAGCACTAACTTGGTCAGTTCACATATAATGATGAGGTAAACATTTTGCAAGGGCAGGATTGATTTGCATGGGTTCCGTTTAATGTAAGAAATGACAATTACACAGTCTGGTCACAGAAAGTTCCATAGTCCCCCAAATAGCATGTGAACTAGCTAGGCTGCCATATTTTAATTTTCCTCCTATTCAATGACAAGTTTCTGTTCCCTGGCTGATGAGTGTGTTTGTTCTTCCAGCAGAAGCTTTGTTCATGAGAAGGAGTCCTTTTTTATTTTTTCTATTCCTGTGGTGATAAGTTGGGATAGAGAAGTTTGCATGTACTTTAGAACAACCTTCCTCAACTTGGTGTCCTTGAAGTGTTTTGAAGTGTACAGTTTGCATCAGCCCCAGCCATCATGATCAGGGATGGTGGAAGTTCTCATCTGAAATGCCTTGAGGACAACATGTTTGGGAAGGCTGTTCTAGAAAGGCACCTGTTATTGTGCAGTATCAGCCTTGTGGCAAAGAGTCATGGCTTATTTTGGAGGGGGGGGGAATCTTTTTGTTTTTGTTTTCTGTTGACCTTTTGCAGTAGCAGATAGAAACAAAAACCCATCTCAGAAAAGAGCAAGTGATTGATCTCTTAGTCTGTTGTGGGTTTTCCCCCAGAAATAGAACATACAGAAACCACCATTTTTTCTTCTTAACTTAATGACAAAGTGGTTTCCTTTCCATAAGCTGACTCTTGTGTGATGTACTGGCATCAGTACCATGGATAGCAATATTGGAAGGATAGAGGTCTGCAGGAATTCCCACAGCCAGTCTTCTGGAGGCTTTGATCAAGAAATGAACGTCTTGACATGTTTTCAAGCTCTTGAGCTAGTGAGTCCAGATGCCAGAAGTAATTTTCATCCTGTGGAGAATACACAAGTAATGGGTGAGCATTCTGTCTGAGTAGCAAGGGATTATGAGTATGGTAGTCTCTGCCCATTAGTTCTGCACAGAAAGCCTCTCAAATAAACTAACAGACCTATAATCCTTGCAGGTCCCATGGAGCTTAGCCCCACACACTCATATACTTTGTCTTCTCTACAAGATGAAAATGGCTGCTGTAGTCTCAATTTAGCCTAAGAACTTAAAAACATTGGTCAGGATGTTCAGTTGTTGCTTAAAGCCTCTGAGGACTAGCCTGGGAATTCCTGCAGACTTCCGGGAACTGTAGCCTACAAATTACGAAAACCCCATGCCTAGACATGATTGAATGGTAATCTCTGGTGGCTGCAAGAAAAACATGCAGGTGAAAGAGGATGACTGTTGTCGAATATTAATGCATGTGTCGGTAATCTCTGGTGGCTGCAAGAAAAACATTTGTCATGCAGGTGAAAGAGGATGACTGTTGTCAAATATTAATGCATGTGTGTGAGAGATAATTTTACTACATAAAAGTATTTCATACAGGATACATCAATTGACTATTATTTACCTTGAGATGCAAAAATGTTTAGGGCTGTTTCATCATGTCTCCAGACTGAGCAATAGTTGAAGAAGCAGTAGAGTGAAACCTTTTGGGAAGACAAAGAGTGTTACATGGTCTAGAATGCAGGTTTGAAATTTTAAGCTGACAGAACCTTATAGAAAGTCAGAGGAAGTAGTCTTCTCAATGAAGTGCATTGTTTTGCTTGGATAAATAACACTGCCATGGAAGGGTGGCACTCAAAATATAGCTATCAGCCTGCAAACTATTTTGACATCATTGAATTGATATGTCAGATCATCTGTGTGTCAGTTCATAGCAGAACTTGCCCTGGAAAATCACTGAGGAAGCTACAGTTTGTTTTCTCTATGAGCTTCTGCTTGGCTCACTTTCAAATTAATATGCCGGAGGCACTATATGCTGAGATAAGTAAATGTGAAAAAGCTCTAAGGATAATTTAAAAACTACGTTGTTGCACAGTGTAACAGGGGAAACTTGTAGCACACATTCATAAAAATGTAGAGAAGATGGAAGATCTACATGGGGTTCTTTGTTTTCCTGACTGCAGTTCCTAAATTCAACTGAAATTCTTCCAGGCAGAATTCTGAGGGATGACCACCAAAAGTATTAGTTTCAGAGGAGGTCTCCATTATACATGGGCTTCCCATCCAATATTTGGTTTTCAGGAAAGAGGAACTTGCCTGGTGGAGGCTTTGATGAAAAGGGCAGAGCCCCAGTGAATCATGGGATGGGTAGTCTTGCTGCCCATTAGCCTCTGTGGAGTATGTCTCCCAAAGAACTACCTGTTCCATATATCTTTGGGACTTCTATGCAGCCTGCCATCCCAGCCTCATTGGGCTTTAGTCAATGGTAATTTAACTTAAGAATGGCCAAAATTGGTTTTGTGAATACAATGGCCAAAATTCTTGAGACTTAGCTTGACAATAGCATTTCTGTGTTAGAAGAGATACTATGTAAATTAGGTATATTATAACCAGAAATTCATGTTATGAAAAGGTCACATGATCAGCGGATGTCTTCATATTGTATTAATGAATTTGGTCACCTTCAAATAATGGAGGTGTACAATAGAAGCTGATTGCTGCCTTGTCATGGCGAAGGGGCTTGAGTAACTCAGGGACGCAATGGGCTATGCCATGCAGGGACACCCAAGACGGAAACGTCATAGTGGAGAGTTCCGACTAAACGCAATCCACCTGG